AAACCAAAAGTGAGTGATTCCAGCCGGAAATCGTACTTGTGGTTCTTATCGATGAGCAATCTTGCGTTAGGAGAGCCAAGACACCGCCGAGATGATTTATTGCATATCAATGTAAGTAATACATTTCCTATTAAACGTGCTGCGAAAAAGCTGTCAGGCTTAATTTAAGTTTTTATGGCAGAATACAGCTCAATAATTGTGTAATATTAAAAATACAGACAGACACAGACTTACGTAAGAGTTAGATTCTACAAATCTTTAGGAAACACGAATCCCACGCCAATCAGATTTAGCTTACCTTTTACTACAGTTCATTGTTGACATGTTTACAACACGTGTTCACATGAGAACGTTTAAAAAGTCCTTCCCGAGTTGGTTTCATTCGCAGGGTACATTTGCAAATTATTCACTGCTGATTACGAAAGCACAAAGCACAACAAAGTTGAAAATGGAATCGCTGTTTGTGCATGACATTCTGACCTTTCAAAGACACGAAAAAAATTGAAAGAAAAAGCAACAATTCAACGACGCCAGAATTGAAATAGAATTGAAAACGAACTCAAGTCAGGTTCAACAACAAATACGTCACTCGGCGACCTGTTGAAGTCGACGAATTTGGGCTTGAAGAAGTAGAAACTATGTTTTTCTGGGACAACTCATCTCTTCAGTGAAGAACCGATTCAGTGAATTCAACAGAAAATAAAAATGGTATGGAATAATTTTTAAAAACTGAAAATGTCCTTATCCGGGAAACTGCCCCTGTGCTTGAAATGGAAAGAATCCGACCGGTCAAATGTTCCCAGTGCTAAGCTATGAATTCGAAACGGCTGAAAGCAATTCATAAGCTGCAGACTACGCAGCGCAGCACACAAAGAAGCATCTTGGGAATAATTAGAAAAGTCGGGAATACGCATGAACGAATAAGAACACAAAGAAGAGCGCGATGCCATTGCCTGAGTGAAGACGTCAAAAAGGCAAAGGTCAGGAGAAGTCAGCAGATGAAAGGACCGTCGCTGTGACGGTGGGATTGGGTTCTAAGAGAGAATAAACGGCCCGAAGAAATACTTTGAGATCGATGGCAGCATAAGATTAAGAAGTTCGCTGGACCAGACAGATGAAAACGGCACACAGCCGAGTGGCAGATTCACATCCTTGGAGAGGCTTTCATCCAGCAGTGTAACGACAAAAACTGATGATTTAATTACTGATGTAAACAGATGTATACAATATAAACACGAAAAGGTTTATTTGGCCGTTCGACCTCCTGAATTTACTAAACCATGGTTTCACAGCGGTTTCGTACTTCTCTTCATAAATCACTCGATAACATTTACCTTCTGACTTTTAAGAACCGTGAATCCTTAGCAATCGACCCATTGC